ATAGGTTTTCCGTGATCATCTGTACACTTGGTGTGCGATGTTCTGGCCAATTAAATGCATCTCATCAAGTCCAAAAAATGATGCACCATGGAATGTCGGTAAGGCTGCTAATGGTGTCCCATACAAACCGCGTCGCTATGATAGTATATATTTTTTGTTAAGTAACGCATGTATTCCTCTATATTATAGTCAATATGTTCAGATATTTACCGTATCTCCGTTAAGATACTCGCGGTTGCTTCTGCTTTGGTCCAGCTGAGCTCCACCAACGAAGTATCTGGCTCAGCCATTGCCACTGGGACTGACGCAACTTGTAGCAAGGATAACACATACTCTGCAGCCGTAGTACGAAGTGTGTCCTGAGTGACATACAAGATCCGTGACAGCAGGTATGTCTCCAGATGCAAGCATGAGATGCGCTTTTACTGGTATCGGCGCAGGAATGCCAGGACAACGCACTCGCATTCCAATTGTTCCCAAAACCTGAAGATCATCCATCAAAGGCTTTAAAAAGCTATGAATGTCTTTGGGCTTGTATGGTCCAGGGATAATGGCGACTTGGAGCATATTCTTCAGTTTGTATCTATATAGTATCCGGTTTATATCAGTGCCAAATCAAACCTTTATACGTTGCTAGAATACCTTTCGGGTTGAGGAAGCGTGAAGACTACAAGGTGGACAATCGTCATTAATATTGTATTATTACGGCCTCGACGGAATGGCACGAAATCGTCCATAAACAAGCCAAGCGTAATGTCATACTCTCCATCGAAAGAATGGCGGCAGATTTCAAAGGCACGCCCATCAACAATATCAGTCGTGACGCCTTCTTCTCCTACACTCTTGTTGCCAAAACTTAAAGTATCGCGACTTGTAGTAGTGGCAAACAAACTTGCAAGAAGGTGTGAGATAGGGATATATCTCATGACCTGTGCAGGCTTCCTGTTTTCCAAATAATGAGGCTTCTCGCACTTTGGGCACTTGTCTTGACTGCTAGTGTCAAGAACACATCCGTCCGCGCACATATCCAGATTCCTCGGCTTGATAGGTCAAATATATCCAGCCCTTTTGCTGGCCAAGTATGGGCTACACAAGTCTTCAAAGCTGCGATTTTTCACTACGAAAAATGTTTAACATATATATACATTGATCACTACTCATTTACTTACTGAAGCTGTCGATAGAGTGCTTCACAAAGCGATTGCAAAAGCTAATCAGATTGTCATGACAATCCCTCGGAAGATTGTAGTTAAGAACAATCGCCAATAGTTCGAGATCCCATCTGTTATCTTCGGCTTGCTGCTCGATATTTGAAACATCGATTTCTTCGACATCCCCTTCATTAATGCGAGTTGGCGCGTCCTCAAGTGGAAGCATAGCTTCGACGTCGCTACCTTCGTCGTTATTTTCGCCACAGCTTTCGTTGTCACTGGTCTCGTGGTCTACGCTGTCACTTTCGCGATCAGCCGCAATAATCTCGGGAGGGACCTCGAGATTAGCGTTTCCCATCAAGGTACCGGGATCGGCATTCGTTAGGTTGGGTGCTAACACCAACGCAGTAACTGGTGGAGGCGAACTGCTGCTGCTACGGCACTGTTCCCGCTTGTGTTCTTTGACGTGGTTTTTGTACTTTATTGCAGACCTAAAGGTCTCATCGCAGTTATCGCAACAATATATGGGCATGGTGGATAGTGGACGATGAGTATGAAATGATAGGTAAGTCTCAATTGAACGATATGTTATAGCCACTTGGTTAATCAAGGTGACAAATACTTTTAAATTACCACGAAAGTTTCACAATTTTTTTTTCTTTCTTCTCTTCTTCCCAAAAACTTTTTTTTAAAAAAATGAACACTAACCAAACACCTTCCAACGCTAACCTCAATTTCCTCCAAGTCATCATTCGTATGGAGCATCGTCTTATCAATGTAGAGACGAATCAAGCAATCATTCTAGAGAAGCTCGACCAACTGCTAACAGCGCAATCCCTAGTCGAGGTGCCAGTTGTCGATGAAGCAGAACTTGCTGAGACGGTTGCCCTCATTCCCCACCCAGTGGCTCTAAATACCAAGGGGAAGATGGTGAAGAAAGCTAACAAGGATGATGTCGAGCACCTTCTCCTTCAAGGCTACCACCAGTTTGAAGGTGGTGCTTTGATCAAAGCCAAGACGGACATCAAGCACATCCGGGAGCGTGTTGTGGTCGTATTAGAGAAGAGATTGCGGGATCGTGCTGACAACAGCGCGACCTGCTACTTTGCTAAGCTGCAAAGCAAGGATAGCAACTGGGCTATCAGCCTTTTCACGAACCTGGCAAAGAAGCAGGGAATTGATTTTGCTGTCTGCCAGGACCAGTGGGCAGCTCGCCACATCGTATGATAACTACTACACTAGAGCAACCACAATTGAATATATATTAACTTTCAGGTAGACAACAAGAACTGGCTTCTGCGTCTCTTCCTGCTTCTCTTCCTGCTTCTCTTCCTGCTGCTCTTCCTGCTTCTCTTCCTGTCTCTTCTGCTTCTCTTCCTGCTTCTCCTCCTGTCTCTTCTGCTCTTCCTGTTTCTTCTGCCTCTCTTCCTGTTTCCACTTCTGCTCTTCCTGTCTCTTCTGCTTCTCTTCCTGTCTCCGCTTCTGCTTTTCTTCCTGCCCCTGCCCCTACTCCTTCCTCCACGCAGTCTACCAAACGACGCCGTACTACAAAGCGGCTCGGAGCTGCTCCCCCCCCCCCACAAAAATAAACATAATTAAAAGGTAAGTTAAAGTATCAGAAAGTTGATTATTGTATAAACACACACACATACACGTATATATATAGCGAGAGTGTATGTGATATATATAGAGAGAGAAAGGGGTGGTTTTCATCTATATACGCTCGACCAGTATTCCATCAATCAATAAACCTTAGCTAGTATCATGTAATTGAATAAAGCTATTTTTTAAAATCTATATAATGAATATTCCACAAAAATGTTTTGTGATTTTTTGTGAATATGTGACCGCTTTGGTATTCTACAAAACGTTTTGTGATTTTCTTGTGAACGTGTGACCGATTTGATTTTCTTGTGAACGCGTGACCGCTTTATCGCTACTTTAAATTCACAAGAATCCACAAGAATTCTTGTTACTTTACTTAGTGTTTACAAGAATTTTCCTACAGTGAAATCACTTTCGCTGTGATCTTGGAAAGGCAAGTAGTTGTAAACAAACAGATCTGAGGCCTCAACAATAGCTTTATGTGCCCAATACAACTCTGGCGCTTCAAACGGATCAAAATCGACTTCGCGTCGCCGAGCCACCAAACTCTTGACATCCTTCTATAATATTATAATAATAAACACTGTTTCAGCACCTTATTCTTACGCATTTACTGTTTGGCATATAAGCGACTCACCTTTCCATTGTATGAGAGTAAATACTCCTCAAAATCGGCGGGAAGTTTGGGAAGCATGGGCTTCTTAAAGTTGATGATCGCGTTTAAATCTTCAGGCAAGAAGATGTCTTTCCAGACAGCATCCGTGGGATCGATGATGAGGCAGTGAACGGGACTATCATTAATATATTACGCATTATTCAACATGTAAGTTCTTGTCTAACTTATTCAGATTGTTTAATTTATCCCTATAAACTTACTGGTGGAATTTGTACTGTAATGCAACTTTGTGCATTCCTTCTTCTACATATCTTCTTTCGTCTCCTTGCAGGTTCAAACACCATTTATCTTCGTTGGCGATTTTCTCGAATGTTTCTGCTACATATTTTCGCTGTGATGGTGACAGTTTGGCGTTGGCTTTGGTGGTAGTGCTCTTGGAACCAGAACTGGAGGACGTGGGATCAAGCACAGTATCGTCTGATACAATAAGATCTCGAACACGTTTCCAGGATACACGGTCTGATCGAATCTGTTTGTAAAAATGCAAGTCAGTGTCAGTTATTACCAAGTTCGGGCGCAGACTTACCACTTCGACTTCCGCAGACAAGGCACATCATAAAATTGACTTCCTCCAATTTCTAAGCACGTCTTTTTCTTGGGAAACTCCTTTCAAACTGCCTGCTATTTCTTTCTCCAGTTTGTCAACGACAGCTTGCAAAGCAACTTGACTGTTGCTTTTGAGGGATTTGATGGCGAGAAGTATTACTAATGAATATATATAACGTATAAGCAGACTGCACCCTTTCACTTCAAGTTTATACTTATATGGTGCATACTGACTTGAATCGTTAATATATTTGAAATACCGACCCAAAAAAAGAAAGTGTATCAGAGTTGTCCAAAGTGAATTTTCTGAGATTCTAACCAGCAAGATGTGTTTAATAGCATATTATAAGCATTTCTTACTCGTTACTTTATAAAAAAAAAGGTGTTTTGGAGAGCTCTGATAGCCATCAAAGTTTTGTCAGAATATGAAAATTTACTATATAGACCCAAGATTTTGACAAGGTGGGAGGGGTAGATCAGTGAGGTAATGTAGGCTATTACAGTCTGTGTAACATTGCATTAGTCATGGTTACACAAACACGTTATCCTCATTACCATACTGCTTTTTCACAAGGGTTGTATTTCCTTCATTGATACTCGCTCATTGTAGTGAAGCTACACTACTTTGAGATTGATCCAAATAAATCAACCCACTCCACCATCTTCGTAACCATTAAAATGCAGTAGTGAGAACACCACACACATAGAGGCTCAATCCATAACAATTAATTTTACTGTAAACAGTAAATTAATTTTAGTTAAGGATTTCATAGTCAAGCTAGCCTTCGTCCAGGTGTTCCTCGGCTAGAGAAGGGATTTACTCACTACTGTTGCGCCACTTAGAGTGTTTTAAACCTAATGGTTGAGAATAAACCCGGGGGTTAAGAATTTTATAGGGGTTGAGAATTATTTTTTTAAACAAAAAATTAATTTCATGATTTATTATAAACACTTAAAAATTATATTACTTATAATTTTTTACATGTTTATAATTTCACCAAAAACATAAAACTAGGGTTTACCCCCCATAGATGAATCAAATATTACATAATTAGCACCATATTGATAATCTCTCAAACATGGATCACAATCGAGAATGACTCAGGACCAACTATTATCAATACTCCGTTGCAATATAATATCAATAAGCTCTCAAACATGAATCAGAATCGAGGATAACTCAGTACCAACCATTGTCAGTACTTCGTTTCAATCTACATTATCTGAGTTGAGCGAAGTGTACCTGTCAAAGAGCGGATATCATACGTCGATACTACAACCGTTACTAGCGTTATATCCAAGCATATAAGGATATGAAAGACGATCGTGAAGCTACCAAGATCGTAGAGAAATTTACTTCTAGAAGTTACAAATCCCACCGTAGAATTATTGCAAGTGATTAGTTTGTATTTTTACCTCCGTTATTTCTGACTTTCATAAATAAATGAGTATAGCTATCGATCATGTAATTCCCTGACTAGTGCAAAACATAGAGTATGATTAGGGATCCGCACGGTTCGGTTCGGTTCGGTTCTTAAAGGGAACCGAACCGAACCGTCTAAAGCAAGAACCGAACCGACTAGAACCGACGAGAACCGTAGAACCGAAGAACCGAACCGAAGAACCGAACCCATCATGTATATAAAAAAGGCAAGATTCGGTATCTTTAAATGAAAGCTGATGTGTGTGTTCAAATGTCGCGGTATACTTGAATACTGCAGTAAAAAAGAATAGTTTATAATTGTACATTGAACAGCGATCTCAAAATGAATAAGAGAAACAGAATGTAAACATTCTCATACGATGTGGGTCATTGCATGGTTAAAAGATTGAAGTACAGTTTTTACAAAAAAAAGTGGAGCTTATAGTACTTACTTAGAGCGACTTAGTATTACTAGTACAATATGTTATCGTAATATTGGAGGAATTGAACCACAACCGGCAGTACATACAGCTGCTGTGTCTCTACGTGTGTATAGTGTATAGTGTCTCATAAAAGGCAAAGGGTGAATGGGTAAGATAATTCTGTTATGAGCCCCAGAATGCGCAATCTCAAACGGAATGCACAAACTTGATAAAACTGATCGAGAAGCCATGATAAATCTAGTAAAGTAGTACGTCATGGAGAAAAATGCATTGTGGGTAGCAAAGTAGAGGAACAAGTAATGATGTGCGTCATAGGCGGAGAAAGCAAGCTGCCGTCAGAAGAAGTGTTTTTTTATTTTTTTCTCTTCTCTTCTTTACTATTTTTTACTCCCTTCTGCTTTTGCAGGTTTTGTTAAGTTTTTCAATAAAGTATGGCTTGCAAATACACTACTTCGTGGTCTTTTCGGAATAACATTGTTCGTAACTTCCATTATAGCCTACTTAATACTAATTACCAAAATCGCTGATTGCAATCTTCTGCCTCTCGGTTCTTCGGTTCTACTTATACAGAACCGGTTCGGTTCCGGTTCGGTTCTTGACAGGAACCGAACTGTATTTTCTCGGTTTCGGTTCGGTTCGGTTCCGGTTCTACGGTTCTGATACGGATCCCTAAGTATGATATATGAAGAAGCGTATTGGGTGTTTCGGGTGTTAATTTAGCCGCGGTGTTTCAAAAATTTTCAATTTTCGACAGTTCATGGTTTAAGTCAGTATGCACCATACAGAATGAATATATATATAGTACGGATGAAAATCCGCAGGAAATGTATTTACTAGTGCTTCTTAAATGAAAAAAAAAGCAAGAAAAATGAATATATGTACAATCTGGCTGTTTGTGTGTTATGTGTTATGTGTTATATGTGGTAAGTGTGTTTGAGTTTGAGTGTGTTGACGTGGTATATGTGTAAAACTTTGTATTGTTTTTATATATTGTGCTTTCCTTCGTCAACTTCATCATGGTTACGCTTTCTCGGTGAAAGCTTTGGCGATGATACGCAATCTGGTATCAACGGCGTTGCTTGGCAGTTGTCGGTAGATGGCATGATGATGGTCTCATCTTCTTCTACTATCCTTACCACAGCGTTCATCAATGTCTTCATTTGCCATGTAAGTGCAAGAAGAGGTATCACCTTCTTTGCAAAAACTGTTGGCAACGCGGAAACTCAAACGGGCCAACTTTGGTAATTGACATGCTTTACCAGCAGGAGAATCCATGATATATGCAGTGAGGTACAAACCTAACAGATTATATACGAAAGACAAAGCAAACGCCCAAAATGTTGAGTATGATGCGAGCATGGAAAAGATAAATAAGTAAGGCTAAAGTATATATTTATTCTTTGATTAAAGAGCTATGTGCACGCACTGCACAATACTTGCTCGTATATATGCTCAACCAGCCACCAGAGTATCTACTATACTGAGGGTTAATCACTATGCTTATATTTGAGATTTTATAATAAATTTTATGTAAATTATTGAATTTTTTTGACTTCGGAGTTCTAAATTATATATATTATAAAATTTTATTTTAAAAATAAAATTGAATTTTTTCTATTATATAAAAATATACTCTAAAATAGTTGCTCTAAATGAATTTCTCCTAATCAATCATATTCAGTTATCTTTAAATTTATGTAATGAATTAGATACCTTTATACAATCTGAATTTGATCATTTTATAGAACAAAATATTATTAAAAAAATTTCAAAAAAAATTCAAAAAAATAAAAATTTATTCTCATCAGACCATTTTCTATACCTTTCTATGTATAACAATTTTTGTGTTCATAAGTTTAAACGAGGAATAAATAATGGTAAATTCTGTGGAAAAAAAATAACTAAAAATGGTGATAAAAAGAAATTTGTCTGTAGAAAACATAATCTAGATCATGTTCCTAAAAAAAAAAAAATAATAAAAGAAAAAGTGAAAATATTATACAAGAGGTAGATAATCTTATTATAAAAAAGAGAAAAAAAAAGAAAACCAATAAAAATAACTATAGGTAATCCTTATTTTTTATGCTTTAATAGTATTCTTCCTTAATAGTTATATTTCTATATTTATACTGTGCTTTTCTATATATTCTACTAATAAATCTTTCTCATTAAATTTATCAGCTGATAACCAGCTATTATGTTTATGGCTATAATTTTTCCATTTAATTGAGAACATATATATATCATTTTCATATTTATGACCAACAATTTTTTCTATTTCATATGATTCACTATTATCTCCTATATTTCTTACAAATTGTATGTTATTTTCTCTTTCTTTCCCTTTACCTTTCCTTCTTCGTTTCTTTCATTAAATTTAGGTATATCATCTTTACTACTATTTTCTATATTTTTATCACTATAATCATCAACTTCTATTCTTTCATTATTTATATTTAAAGTTAATAAATTTCTTTGTAATTCTAATATTTCATCTTTTCTCTTTGCTTGCTCTATAGAATTACTAATAACAATATCTACTAATTTTGCTTCATAAGGTAATTCGAAATTTTTAGTTTCCCATAATTTATGATGAGGTTGTATATTTATATTAAATTTATCACTAAACTTCTGTATATTTTTTAATAAACATGCTAAACGGAACTGTAGATTATAAAATTTAATATATCTATTTTTGCAATTGAGTTACTATTACTAAATCTATTAAATTTATTACCTATTTCAGAAAATTGATTTTCAACTTTTGAACGAAAACTTCCAAAAACATCATTAAAATGCCTTTCATCTGCATTCAAATCAACATTAACTTCTTTTCTAATAGGATATATAAAATTATTATTATTAAAGTCAATACCTTTTTGACTAGATAATTCAATAAGTTGGTTAACAAAAAGTGTATAGCCACCATCCATTGCTAAAACATCATAAGTATTTAATTTATTATATACTTTCATATTTAAAAACATACTTCCATCAGAACTTTCTGCATACATATCAGTTTTTGATATATATAATATCATATCATTTATATCACTAATAATTTGCATTCTAAGACCATTTTTTTTAAATTTATATGAAAATAATTTTTCACGTTTTATATCTGTATTAACATAATTAATCCTACTATCATGGCCATCAATTATTAATGTTATATGTTTAAATAGTAATAGATTATACTTATGAGCTGATAAAACCCTTAATTTTATAGAAGAAAACATATTTATTAATGATTTATTTATAATTTTATTTATTCTTTTATAATTTTCTTCATCTATCCTTATAATATTGATGAAAACTACTTTGAGGAAGATATCTATTTATATCTATTCCTGAAATACCAGAAACTAAATAGTATAATAAAAATAAACCCTTTTCTATTTCAAAATATGGACCTAGGTATTCTTTGTTTGTATATATTACTATTAAAAAGAAAAAAATTGAAATATAACCTAATTTATTAACTAATTCTTCTTTAATTTCATCTATATGTTTTATATGTTTTAACTCAGTTCTATGTTTATAATTATAATTTAATTTTGGCCAATTTATATCTAAAAATTCCCAATTATTAATAATACTTTTATCTACTTCATTATTTATTTGTTCTTCAAAATTTATTTTAGTTTCCATATTTTATAATATCTTTTTATATATATATAAATTCAATTTTAAAAATTTTCAACCACAAGAATAAATCTCAACCCTTAATTTATTCTCAAGTCTTTACTTTTAATAAAAACAGCAACTAAGGGTTAACCTCCACTATCCCGCACGAATCGACACAACATAAAGTCATTCAAATAAAAAAAACACTTACCAGAGATCAAGAAGCCACTACCTTGATATTGCGAATCGCAGATGGGGCTTCAGCGACGAGATGCACAAACATATCTTTCATGGTGTGAGGCAGCTTCATTCTTCCTTCTTGGATCGTCTTAGTGCTGTTAATGTCATTTGACAACCCGGCTTCTGTGCATCCGTATTCGCGACCATTCGACGAGAAGCGCATATCTACCCTTGTGCCCATGCACTTGTGCGCTAGTTGACCAGTGGAACTAATGCTCGATCCACGGGTCGCATTTCTTCGCTCTCCAGAAGCTGTACTGCCTTTCTCACCACTATAACAAAGCATATAATTAGTAATTAACCAGATGACATGTCGCATGATACAATTACATGTTCCTAATGTTGAAATCACTAACCTTTGAACCTTGAGACTGGAGCCGTCAAAACATTTTTCTACAAACTCCCAAATCCGGTGAATTAAATCACTTTCGCTGTGATCTTGGAAAGGCAAGTAGTTGTAAACAAACAGATCTGAGGCCTCAACAATAGCTTTATGTGCCCAATACAACTCTGGCGCTTCAAACGGATCAAAATCCACTTCGCGTCACCGAGCCACCAAACTCTTGACATCCTTCTATAATATTATAATAATAAACACTGTTTCAGCACCTTATTCTTACGCATTTACTGTTTGGCATATAAGCGACTCACCTTTCCATTGTATGAGAGTAAATACTCCTCAAAATTGGCAGGAAGTTTGGGACGCATGGGCTTCTTAAAGTTGATGATCGCGTTTAAATCTTCAGGTGAGAAGATGTCTTTCCATACAGCATCTGTGGGATCGATGATGAGGCAGTGAACGGGACTATCATTAATATATTACGCATTATTCAACATGTAAGTTCTTGTCTAACTTATTCAGATTGTTTAATTTATCCCTATAAACTTACTGGTGGAATTCGTACTGTAATGCAACTTTGTATATTCCTTCTTCTATATATCTTCTTTCATCTCCTTTCAGGTTCAAGCACCATTTATCTGCGTCAGCGATTTTTTCAAATGTTTCTGCTACATATTTTTACTGTACTAGTGACAGTTTGGCGTTGGCTTTGGTGGTAGTGCTCTTGGAACCAGAACTGGAGGACGTAGGATCAAGAAAAGTATCGTCTGATACTACAAGATCTCAAACACTTTTCTAGGATACATGGTCTGATCGAATCTATTTGTAAAAATGCAAGTCAGTGTTAGTTATATCTAAGTTCTAGCATAGACAAGGCACATTGTAAAATCGACTTCCTCCAATTTCTAAGCACGTCTTTTTCTTGGGAAACTCCTTTCAAACTGCCTGCTATTTCTTTCTCCAGTTTGTCAACGACAGCTTGTAAAGCAACTTGACCATTGCTTTCGAGGGATTTGATGGCGGGAAGTATTACTATGGAGAATAATCATTAGTATCAGAATATAGTACTATATATATTATAAATGATAATATTGAATATAGATGTTAAGAATATTATTTATATATTTTATGTTTTAATTTTAAATAATTTCAATAATTTGATATAATTTTTATTATAAATATGTTTTGTTTTAATAATATTCTTTTTAAATTAATTATGACAATTTTTTATAGATTAAAAAAATAGATAACAAATAAAAAAGCTATAATATAAATAAATAAAAATTTATAGATTAGAAAAAGACATAAAAAGGAATTAGGGGTGATTGAATAACTTGCTTGTGAAATATTGGGGGCTAGATAATGAAATTAAAAGATAATGAGTTATATAAGGTGGACAAGCTCATTATGTGTTCTCAACAACAATAACTTATTCCTTACTAAATATACCAATCAATCTATATTTATTGTTTAGTTCCCTATTGAATATATAATGTATAAGCAGACTGCACCCTTTCACTTCAGAGAAACATTTAAAATTATTTTTATTTTAAACTAAATATATTAATTTTTACTCTTATTTTAAAGTTAACATATCTTGTATAATAATATTATATTAATAATTTATTTTTCTATAATAGCTTATGATATTTTTTTTAAATAAAATTTTTCTATGAAATAACATTGTTAAAGATTCTAATTTAATACATATTTTTAAAAAGGAAGAAAAAATAGTATTAATAATATTTTCTAATAATTTTAGAATAATACATATTACAAAACATTTCTCTCAAGTTTATAGTTATACCTTCATCCATCTTAGGATTATTATCTACTATTAAATAGAGCATGGTCCTTACGATTTCAATCCCAGCGTAAAATCCAAATATGGTCATCCTGTAGGCAATTCCTCAGTAAAACAGCTTTTCAATCCCAGCGTAAAAACCGGATTTGGAAATAGCAACATGTTTGTTTTCTGTTTGCCCGTACAAAGCGTCTTTTTTCACTATTCAGGAACGTGTGCATATTACGTTGTTGCCTTTTAATACAAATTACTGTGCTTTCAAATATTCAATAGTACGATGAATTCGCAAGAGGTGTGTTACTTGACTTAATCAATTGCTAACAATGTTTGAGGCTTTTTCTTGAAAATCGTTGCAAAAAACTTAAATCCACTATGATAACTAATTTTTTTTTGTTGGCGTGTTGAAGCAATCTACTACTCATTAAAACTGTAACTATGGTTCAAATGAAGACAATAGACCATGCCCCACTCATTCTCGCAATGTTCGTCGTAGAGTAGGCAATGTATATTTTACGCATCTATATATATTTAAACTACTGCACTCTGTTTACTTTGAGAAATCGCTATATAGATTGTTTTTGAAGACCCCACCGATCCTACTACTTCGAGAACTTGCGTCTGTGGCTCGACCACCCACCAAAGACGTTCCTACGGGCTTTGCCCCCTTAACCCTCGCAACCAAGGTATTTTACCTGAATTGATCAGTTTGGTATATAATATTGTTGCTGATAAAACTACAGTTGCCGCACTTCCTACTTCTCTTTCTTCAGCAGCTGCCACCATTGTTGCCGTCGATGCTCAGCCATCCACTCCTCCTCTACCAGCACCACCTGCCACTATCAACGCTCAGCCGCCTCCTGTCGTCGCTACCAACTCTCCGTCTCCTCCACCTACACCTGCCGCTAATCCTCCTCCAGCAACGCCTGCTGCTGTTACTGCCACCCCACTAGTTACACGTTGCTCCAGTTGCTGGGCACCAACGCACACACGCCACACCCACTGCCTCTGTCCGTTTAACCCAAGCAATGTCGAGCATGAGCATGGGGCGCAATACCGCATTGCGCATGTAGTCCCCTTTGATCCAGAAGACGTTTTTGGGCCAAACGTATGCTATACTGCCGGCGACTCCTTCCATCATCATGTGTTGCCACGTATGGATACTGTTTGTCCATATTGTGGTGCACTAATGTGGTTAGATGAAAAGCTTACGATATCATCCATACGCAGACCTCGCTTTGGTCTCTGCTGCCTTTCTGGAAAGATCCAGCTGCCAATTCCTCGCACTCCTCCTGTTCCTCTCCGTGACCTCCTAATGAATCGTAACAGTAATGATCCCGTTAGTATCAACTTCCATACCAACATCAGGGCATATAACAGTATGTTTGCATTTGCATCCATTCTTGGTGGCAACGTCGATCCTGTCTTAGCAAGTGGTGCAGGCGGCGTACCCACTTACCGTATCAATGGTACATTGTATCATGCTGTTGGTGCGCTAAGACCTGATAACCAGGCGCAAGCGAACTATTCGCAGATCTATTTCGCAGATACACAGGAGCAATTGGCAAGACGTACGACTTTGTATTCTGGGCTCCTCCGCGAGACGATCGAAATGCTGCAAGGTGTAATGGAGATGCACAATCCTTTGGCGCGCACATTCGTATCTGCTGTCGAAACCCACGGTGATCAGCCACTTGGAACACTTCAGGCTGTAATTCGTCAAAGCGACTTGGGCCGTCGCTACGATCAACAGGGTTACCCTGAAGTAGCAGCAATGGTGGTAGAACGTACTGTGGATGGCACTGCACGGGAGCATGACTTCGTCATTCACGATCGTGCAGAAGGTCTTCGTCGTATCAGCTCCTTGCACGCATCGTATATGCCACTCCATTACGTCCTCATGTTTCCGTTTGGTGACACTGGATGGTTCCAAGGTTTGACTTACGAGTCAGTGTCTCACGACACGATCCAAGTAATGCTGCGTGAGCATTGCACGTACTTGCTCATGATCCGTAATGGCGACTGCGAATCGTTCCTGCACTACTATGGGCGTCTCTTCCAGCAGATGGTGGTTGACAACTACGTATGTATCGAATTTTCTCGCCTTAACTTCATCCTCACCCACCAACGAACGATACGTGCTGAGGTGTATAGTGGTGTTGGTGATAACGTCGATCCCAGGCAAATTGGTCGTGCAGTCATTTTGCCAGCGTCGTTTACAGGTGGCCCTCGCTACATGAAGCAGATGCTACAGGATGGGTTAGCAATCGTTCGCCAGTGGGGTAACCCAACGCTTTTCATTACGTTTACTTGCAATCCAAGATGGCCTGAAATCGTTGCGGAGCTTCTTCCTAGCCAGCAAGCATACGACCGACCAGATATTGCAACTTGGGTGTTTTACCTCAAACTCACCAAGTTGCTCAAGGATATCAAGGAGTCGAAATGCTTTGGTCAAGTCGCTGGATACTTGGCAACTGTCGAGTTCCAGAAGCGTGGTTTGCTGCACGTCCATATCCTGGTCATTTTGGAGCAAGAAGACTGTCCACGCAACCCCACCGACTACAACCAATTTGTATCTGCTGAGTTGCTGAATCCCGTCACACAACCACAGTTGTATCGCACGGTGACAGCGTGCATGATACACGGCCCATGTGGTCCAGGCACCAATGCTGTGTGCATGAAGGATAACCGGTGCTCACAAGGCTATCCAAAACTATTTAACAACGAGACATGCGTCAACCGAGATGGATATCCCATCTACTGACGCCGTGAAAATCAACAAAACCGCCACCTCTTCCCTACTTCCAACTTTCTCGCCGACAACCGACATGTTGTGCTGTACAACCCTACCTTAGCCACAAGTACGATGCATACATTAACGTTGAAATTTGTACATCCAACAGCGCTATTAAGTATTTGTGCAAATACATCACTAAGGGCACCGACCAAGCACAAATACAAACCACTGCAACTGCCACCACCACCACCACCAATACCGATAATGCCGCTGCCGAGCCAGTCAATGAAGTAGAGCAGTTTCAAAACGCTCGATACATTGGTCCGTGCGAGGCTATCCATCGTACGTTCGAGTTTGATGTGCATATGCACTATCCAACAGTCATACGTTTGGACCTTCACTTACCTGGCGAACAGATTGTCAATCTACGTGACGATATGACACCACAGGAAGTTCGTGCAGCGCGTGACGCGGCAGAATCCGGCACCAAGCTTCTTGCCTTTTTCCGCCTTTACAGCGAAAATCGTGCAACAGAAGAGTATCTTTACTCAGAGATCCCATGCCACTACACCTGGGACAACAGAAATCGCCGTTGGAATCCTCGCACCAACCCTCCCATCCAAAATGTTGTTACGCATATATTCCATGCTTCCCTCTCGAACATGG